ACTTACCAGCTGTGTGACCTTGGGCAAGTCACTTAACCCTGCTTGCCTCAGTTTCTTCATCTGTGGAATGAGCTGGAAAAGGAAATGGCAAACCATTTCAGCCAAGAAAAGCCCAAAAAGGGGTCATGAAGAGTTGAATGAGATGAAAATGACTAAACAACAACAGCAAAAAGGATACGTGTATTTACGTTGCTTATGTTGGTGAGAGAGTAAGGTGAACTAAATCTAGAAAGATAGATTGCATCTGGATTATGAAGAGTTTTAAATGCCAGAGTTTATATTTTATTCTGGATTTTATCCTAAAATAGGAAGGCACTGAAGCATCTCGAGTAAGGGAATACCATAGCAGAATCTCTCCTCTGGGAATATCAATCTGGCCGCAGTGTGGGGAATGGTTTAATGGGAGGGAGAGACTGGAGGCAGGGAGACCAGTCAATTAACCAGTCATCAAGCATCTGTTAAGCACTTAGTATATTCCTGATACCCTGCTAAACACTGGAGATACAAAGAAAGGCAAAACACAGTCCTTGTCCTTAGGGAACTCACATTCTAAAGGGGGAGATAACATGTAAGTAGCTAAATTCTCCATTAGATTGCAAGTTCCTTGAGGGTAGGGACTGTCTTTTGCCTTTTTTTGTATCCTTTGGCCTTAGCACAGTGCCTGGCACACAGTAGGTGCTTAATAAATGTCTATTAACTGACTGGCTGACAAGTACATATGAGATAGAGTGTTGTTGTTCAGTCGTTTCAGTTGTGTCTTCATGACTCCTTTTGGGGCTTTTCTTGGCAATGATACTGGAGTGGTTTGCCATTTCCTTATCCAGCTCATTTTACAGATGAGGAAACTGAGGCAAACAGGGTTAAGTTGCCTTGGCCAGGGTCACACAGGTCGTAAGTGTCTGAGGCTGGATTTGAACTCAGGCAGATGAGTCCTCTTGACTCCAGGCTTGGCACTCTAAGCAATATGGTGCCACCTAACTGTCCTGATACATAGAGTAGACAGATTGTAGTCTCAGAGGGGAAGGCACTGGGTGGAGGAGGAGGACTGAGAAAGACCTGCAGAAGTTAAGATTTGAATTGAGTCCTGAAGGAAGTCAGGTAAACAAAGGCAGAGGAGGGAGGCTGAGTGGCCCAGGCACGATAGATAGCCATTGCAAAGGCGTGGAATTGGGAGATAGAGGGTTGTTTTTGAGGAACACAAAGTAGGCCCATGTAGGTGGATTATGGAATGTGCTGAGGGGAATAAAATGGAAGAAGACTGGAAAGGTAGAAGGATTTTAAATGGTGTGCACAGGACTTTGCATTTGATCCTGAAGGTAATAGGGAGCTTCCTGGAGTTTATTGAGTATGGGAGGAGGGAGCATAGTATGGTTAGACCTTCACTTTAGGAAAATCATTGGCACTCAAATTTGGGAAAGATTAGAATGGGGAAGAGACTAGAGGCAGGGAGACCAATTAGAAGGCTATTTCAATGGTGCAGGGGAGAGGGGACAAAGATGGAAATGGAGCGATAACTGTATGGCTGAAGAGGCGGGGAGATAAGTGGTACGTGTCATTAGAAATTAGAAAATTTGGCATCTAATTACATATTGCCAATTAGGAGCCAATGGTTTTGAATGAAGCAGAATACGTTCAAGAGAACTGATGTGTATGAAAATGTTAGAGCCCTGGAGATTTTGTGCAAGTGAGCCAAAGTGTATTCTAGAAAGAGCATGTGCTGAGTCAAGAATGGGAGGGAGTTGCATCATCTTCTCTGTCCTGTGTCAATAGGCAATCACAAGGTCATGAGATGTATGTGAAAACCAGGTTTATTACAAGAGAAATGAACACGCACGTGGAACCCAGAGGGTTCACAGTCCTTACCAAAGTTTGCATATTTATGACAGTACAACAAAAGGAGGAGGAGAAAACAGGAGGGGGCATGACATGGGAGGGGAAAGGTGCAGTAATGTAACTGGAAGGGGAGGACCAAGGCAAGGGCAAAAGGCCCCTTCTTTTCCCTTGGGAGCCATGCCTGTTAACACCTAGCACCTCCTCCCCAACCCCCACTACTCGGGAATAACAATTTTGACATTGATGAAGACCCTGGTCAGATTCTATATAATACAGCTTATCTGAATACTTCATTTATGAACCCTGTAGTCTCCAGGTGGAAAGAGAAAGAGTCTGGGAATCAGGAGGAGGAGAAGACCTCCAACACAGTGTGTGTCATTGGGAGTGATGAGATCATCACAATAAATTGTTTTCTTCAAGATAAAAGGGAATTCTAGAAATGATTTCCTTGAAGACGATTAACCAAAAATATATGTTTTTGAGTCATTTCAGTCATGTCTGGCTCTTTGTGATCCCTTTTGGGTTTTCTTGGCAAAGATACTGGAGTGGTTTGCCATTGTCTTATCCAGCTCACTTTACAGATGAGGAAACTGAGGCAAACAGGGTTAAGTGACTTGCCCAGGGTCACACAGCTAGGAAGTATCTGAGGCTGGATTTGAACTCAGATCCTCCTAACTCCAGGGCCAGCACTCTATCCACTGTGCCACCTGGCTGAATTGAACTTAATGTACCTACTTCCCCTACTGCTAGTGCCTTCCCTCTGAGACCATCTCCCATTTGTATTGCATACATCTTGTATGTATATAGTTATTTGCATGTCATCTCTTCCATTAGAATGTGAGCTCCTGGAAGGCAGGGATCCTGTTTTTTTCCTTCCCTTGTATCCCAGAGTGCACTTCTTGGCCCCAAGTTGTCTGTCTGCATCCATCAAACCAGTCAGATACTTGTCAAGTCTTTACTTCATTCTGTGCCATATGGGCTGTTTCGCAATCTCTCTTCCATTTAGCACAGTGCTTCTTGGCTCGCAATAAGCACTTAATACATGGTCACTGACTGACTGGCCCATCCAAGGGCATGCCTGGGTTCTAGGATAGAGACTGTATTCAAATGTTTAGTGGTAGCCCCGGAGAGCGGGGTCAAGCTGCTTGTGATTGGCTGAGTCTGTTAAGTTTGGCCACTGATAAACAGACAAGGGACGAGCAGGCTTTCAATATGACGGCTTCTTTGTTGCAAGTCCTATTCTAGAGACCACTACAGAAAGCAACTATGGAATGCAAAGGGTATAAAACAAGAGGGAGCTATTCGAAGGATAGGGCCTGGACCTGGGAATTCACTGATACAGGGACTTTTTGGGTAGAAACCCTAGAGAGTGGCAGTTTTTCTGCAGTGTACATTCATAGAGAGCTCCCTGAGAACCGAGAAGCTAAATGATTCTCTGGCCAATGCAGCTAATATGTGTCAGAGTTGGGATTGGAGTTTAGGACTTCCAAGGCCAGCCTTCTATTTATTTTGTAACAAGGGAATGAAATCACTGCATTATGCCCCCAAGAATGGGTCAAAATCTAAAATTTAAGATCATTGATTTAGAATTGGAATGTATTGTTTAGTCCAATGCATCTCCACCACCACCACCTCATTTTATAGAGGAGAATCATAGTAGCATAGACTTGGCCCTCGAAGAGATCTTTGAGGTCATCTTATTCAACCCCCTCATTTTATGGATGAGGAAACTGAGGACCAGATAGGTGAAGTCACTTGTCCAATATCATGCAGGTAATAAGTAGCAGAGCTGGGATTTGAACTCTGGGTCCACTGACTTTAAATCCAAGAGGCAGCATGACATGGCAGACAGAGTGCTAGGCTTGGGGTTAGGAAGACCTGGGTTCAAATCCCAACTCACACGCTTACTAGTTTTGTGACCCTGAACAAGTAACCTAACTTCTCTGGGCCATAATTTCTCCATGTTTAAAATGAGAAAGTTGTACTGATAAGATTGCTTCTAGCTCTAAATTTTCAGCTCCAAATGCCTGATCCCATGTTAAATAATTAGTTAATAAGTGGCAAATTCCTCTTCCATGTGTGAAGAACCCCTCTATAGCACTCAGCAATGTAGTTTACTAGCCTTGGAGGGTAATCAATGGTTTTTATATGGTAAAACTCATTCATAAATTGAAGGACTATGATATAGTAAAGTCTGCTTGTATACCCTTCCAGGGCCAAATGGAAAACAACTGCAAATTATAAAGTTACTTGCTATGCATGTGCTCTGCATAAAGTTACTTGTAATAGAGAAGAGAGCATCTTACCACAGGACTCAGATTTTTACACACCAGTACATCCTACACCTTCAAACTCTTTGATCCTTTTTTTTTTTTTAAACTTCTATCTGCCTCAGAGACAACTTCTTGCCCAAGTCTCCTTTGTCTCTTATACATAAAAGCTTAGGATGCTCTGGCTGGAGAGCCAGAGGGAAGTGAAGATTTGATAATTACCCAGTTAACTTGATCAACATCGACAGCCTGACTGGATGACCCCAGAGTGCATTTCTTGGCCCTGAGCTGGCTGTCTCCATTCATCAAAACAATCAGATAATTGCCAGGTTTCTACTTCACTCTGTGCTGTGTGGGCTGTTTCTTAGTCCCCCTTTCACTTCAAGGGGGAGTGCTGGGTGCAGAAAGGTGGGGGGGAGAACTAGGCCTAGAAACATTTGTAAACTTTTATGCTCTATCAGCTTCAGATCATTATGACCCCTTCCTTCACTGGGGCAGTGACTTGTAATGTGGAACAGTCTGGGAATGAACCTTGGAAACATTTGAGCACTGTGGTCATGGGGCCTTTTGGCTTTTTCTATTTATTTGTTTCCAAGTTAAATGTGTTCTCCTTTGGAAGCTCTTTCCTTACAAGGGAGACCTTTGCTCTAATCTACAACTCTACTCTTTAGAATTCTTTAGCAGCTTTTCAATCTTCAGGATTTCCTTTGAATGTTGAGTTCTTTCTAAAGAGGCAACTTGCAAAATGTACCATCTAGAAAGAGCTGAGAGTCATGCATTTTGTTGGCAATGGTTTTTTTTACCCAAATAATTTACCATATGACATTCGTTTATTTTGAATTTAAACCATGCTGGACAACATTTAACTTGTTTTTTTCTCTCTCTCTTTAATTACAGCTTGGTCTGACAATAGCCATTCGCTATAGCCACAGGTAAATGTTTTCTTCTTCTTTTAAGAGGTAGCTCTGTCAATTTATAGTGTTTGCATTTGATAACAATATAAATATTTTGTTGGCATTATTGTGTAGCTATTTGACAAAGTGGGTCATTAGCAAAGCAGTTGCAGGCACTATTAGTTGGTTTGGTCATATGGTGTGGTGGAAAGAGCATTGGATTTTGGGTACGAGGACCTGGGTTTGAATCCTTAGTTTTTCTACTACTTAAGACTAGTATGACCTTGGGCAAGTCACTTGTCTTCTTTGTTTAGAGCTGTAAATAGAGGTAGCATGGTATAGTGGATAGAGAGCAGGCCTTGGAGTCAGGAAGGTCTGGGTTCAAGTGCTACCTCCAACACCTACTGGCTGTTTGATCCTGGGCAGGTGACTTAACCTCTCAATGACCCCAGGCAATGTTCCAACACTAAGTTGTAGAATAGTTGCACATTTGCATTAATACAGGGAGTTTTCTCGCTGGGAGTTCCATATACCAATGAAATTATAGGTTTAGACCCCATCTCAATCCCCCACAAAAACTACAACAAAAAATTTTTTTGCTATCTGTGAAGGTTAATAGTTGAAGCTTTCTGCATTTTTCCTGGGCCCTCTACCTATATAGAGCTTCCCAAAAGTGTTAATGTGAAGAAACCATTCCCACCTCTCAGCCCAGTTCTGTCCCTAACTCGTGACTAATGTATGTTCTCAACTTATCCTCCATGTTTATGACACTTGGTTAGCTGAGGCTTTTCTCTTCACTGACATCCTTTATCGAGAAAGAGACAGTTCTTTCCTTAAGCCTATTTAGACAATGTTTAAGAAGTCTTTTTGTTAGAGGTTGATTGAGGGAGGTGAGAGAAAGGACTCAGAGGTGAAGAGTTTCGTTTTTGATTTCTGCCTTCTCTGATGCAGCCTGACCTCTCTGAATGTTGGGTTAGCAGATAGGTGTTATTAAGATTGAGTGGAGGAGTAGGTACCAAAACCCAACTTCATTCTGAGCATCCTATTAGAAGCTGGTTTTTAGGAATTTTAGGTCTTTGAAGAACAACCTCCCTCTTCACTTCTCCCCTCCCCAAGTCCATAGACTTCCTTAGTGCTTCTCATTTAATTACCACATGTTATATTGGTACAGTGGATAGAGCACTGGGACTGGAGTAAGGAAGAGCTGAGTTCAAACCCAGCTTCAGACAATACTAGCTGTGTGACCTTGGAGGGGTCCCCTCTGTGTGTCTCAACTGTTTCCTCAACTATAAAATGGGGATAATAATAGCACCTATTACCCATGGTTGTTGTAAGGATGAAATGAGGTAATATTTTAAGGCATTTAGCACCATTCCTGGCACATAGTAGGGGCTTAATAAATACTTGTTTCTCCTCTCCCATTTTGCTTTGTGTTTTTTGCTACCCCATCCCTATTCCCTTTGCCATCCCATCATCCCCCTACATAGACAAGGAAAAAAAGAACAAAGCCCTTGTAACAAATATAGATAGTCAATCAAAACAAATTATCGTATTGGTAGTATCTAGAATCGTATGTCTCATTCTGCATCTTGAGTCCATCACTCAAGAGGTAAAGTTCTTCATCCATCTACTGGAATCTTGGTTGGTCCCTGCAGTGATCACAATGCCCAACTTTTTTAGAGCTGTTGTTATTATTTATGAAATATCTTATTTTTTTCCTATTGGATTATAAACTCTTTGAGGGCAGAACTTGGGTCTTACATTTGTTTCCCTTCACTTCAATTTAATCCAACCAGCATTTGTTAAATACCTATCACATGCACTGTATGTTGTTAAGTGTTGGGGATGGACAAAGATAAATTAAAAAAAAACCTTTTCGCTTTCAGGGAGCTTGCATTTTATTTGGATAATGTAACATTTGCATATGTAAGTAAATATAGTAACATTCAAGGAGGGAGGAAGCACTAATTTCTAGGGGGATTACAGAAGACTTCCTATTAGTGGTGGTACTGGTGGTACTGCTCCTTGAAGGAAGGTAGGGTTTGTCAGAGGAGGAAGTGATAAGGGTATATGCTTTCTAGGTGCACAAGAGAGCCTGAGCAAAGGAGTGGAAATGGAAGATGGAATTCCAAATTTAGGGAATATTCACAGTCTATCTTGGCTAAAATACTAGGTGTGAGTGGGGGGGAGGGGTAATGTAAAATAGGTTGAAGTCAGACTCTTAAAGAGTTTTAAATGTCATGGTGAAGAGTTTGTATTTTATCTTTGAGGCAGTAGGAAGCCACCGAAGCACATACCACCTAAGTTAGCTTCTTGCACTTGGTGGGTACCCTTTGAATGGATTTGAAACTGCAGTGATTCTGAATTCTTATGTCTACATTACCCATGTAATTTCTAACAGAAGGTCCATTTCAAGAGGTGCTATGGAGTAAGGCTGGTGTAAGACTCTAGTAAGGACAGGGCTTGGTGATGAGTTTGTTATAGTCACCAAGTGGAGATGTGAGTCAAAGGTGGTATCAAAGTTTAGAGCTTGGATAATGGAAGATAGCCAGATCATTAGCAGTGATTGGGGTAAAGGGGAGGAGATAAGTTTTGTGAGGAGGAAGGGTCAGAGTAGGGAGAACAAGCTCAGTTTAAGAAAATCTGGGCTGTACTTCACCTTCCACTGGACTCCTAGACTTTTATGCAAAGCTACCATGAGAACATAGATAGGGAAAGACCAAGTTATCTCCGAAGCAAGTGGTAACCCCAGTGCAGTGATATGGGCAAAGGCATCTTTGAGGATGTTGCAAATTTTCTTCACAAGTATGATGGAACTAAGGACATATTGCCACTCATTCTCAGTGCCTTGCGCATTTAGGGTTCTTAATAAATATTTGTTGAATTCACCTTCCCATCTAAGCTAATGAATCAAGAGTACTCTGCCTCCCCCCAATTTCCTTTTTAAAAATTATTTACTTTTACCATTAATTTTTTTAAAATTTTGAGTTCCAGATACTCTTCTTCCCTCAAGTCCCTCCCCCACCCTTCAAGAAAGCAAGCAATATGACATAAATTACACATGTGAAGTCATACAAAAGATATTTCTTTATTGTCCAGATCGTAAAACCAAACCAAAACAAAAGCAATAAAAGCAAGAAACATAAAGAAAGTGAAAAAAGTATGCTTCAGTCTACACTCAGAATTTCATCAGTTTTCTCTCTGGTGGTATGTAGCATTTATCATCATGGGACTAATATTGAATTGAAATTTTCTTGGATCATTGTCTTGACCAGAGTGGCTAAGTCTTTCATAGTTGATTGTACCAGGCACTGTTACAATATTGCTGTTACTATGTATGCTATTCTCCTAGTTCTATTCACTTCACTTTGTTCAAATAAGTTCATATAAGTCTTCCAAGGTTTTTCTGACACCATCTGACTCATCTTCTCTTATAGCACAATGGTATTCCATCACAATCATATACTACATGTAGTTCATCCATTCCCTGATTGATGGGCATCCCCTCAGTTCCCAAATCTTTACTACCATAGAAAGAGCTGCTATAAATATTTTTGTATATATACATCCTTTTACCTTTTCTTTGATCTCTTTGGAATACAGACCTAGTAGTGGTATTGCTGGGTCAAAGGATATGCATAGTTTGATAATCCGTTGGGCATTGTTCCAAACTGTTCTCCAGAATGGTTGGACCAGTTAGCAACTCCATCAACAATGCATTAGTGTTTCTATTTTTCCACATCCTCTCCAGCATTTATCATTTTCCTTTTCTGTCATGTTAGTCAATCTGATAGGTGTAAGGTAGTACCTCAGAATTGTTTTAATTTGCATTTCTTTAATTAGTAGTGATTTAGAGCATTTAAAAATTTGAATATTGATAGCTTTGATTTCTTCTTTTGAAAACTGCCTGTTCATTTCCTTTGACCATTTATCAATTGGGAAATGACTCTTATTTTTATAAATTTGGCTCCCTTCCCTATATATTTTAGAAATGAGACTTTTCTTAGAGAAACTTGCTATAAATCCTACCCCCCCTCCCCAGTTTCCTACTTTCTTTCTAATTTTGGCTTTATTGGATTTGTTTGTGCAAAAAATGTAATTTTATGTAATCAAAATTATCCATTTTACTTCCTGTGATCTTTTCTATTTCTTGTTTGGTCATAAATTTTTCACTTATTCATAGTTCTGACAGGTACATTTTTCTGTGCTCCTTGAAAATGATTATGATATCACCCTTTATGTCTAAATAATTTATCCATTTTGACTTTATTTTGGTATACAGCGTGAGATGTTGGTCTCTGCCTAGTTTCTGCCAAACTGATTTTTAGTTTTCTCAGCAATTTTTGTCAAATAGTGAGTTCTTGCCTCCAAGGCTTGGATGTTTGGGTTTATCAAATACTAGATTACACATCATTACTGTGTACCTAATCTGTCTCACTGATCTTTCACTCTGTTTTTAGCCAGTTTTGATGATAACTACTTTTTAATAAAGTGTAAACTCTAGAACTACCGGATAATCTTCCTTCATATTTTTTATTGAATTTCTTGATATTCTTGACTTTTTGTTCTTCCAGATGAATTTTGTTGTTATTTTTTCTAGTTCTATAAAATAATTCTTTTGATTGGTATGGCACTGAATAAGTAAATTAATTTAGGTAGAATTGTCATTTTTGCTATATTGGCTTGGCCTACCCATAAGCAATTAATATTTCTCCAGTTGTTTAAATCTGACTTTATTTGTGTGAAAAGTGTTTTGTAATTGTGTTCATATAGTCCCTGGTTTTGTCTTGGCAGGTAGATATTCCCAAGTATTTTATAATCTCTACAGTTATTTTAAATGGAAATTCTCTATTTCTTCCTACTGGGTTTTGTTGGTAATAATATAGAAATGCTGATGATTTATGTGGGTTTACCTTATATCCTTTAACTTTGTTGAAGTTATTGATTGTTTCAACTAGTTTTGTAGATGTTTCTCTAGGGTTCTATAAGTATACCATCGTAGAATCTGCAAAGAGTGATAGTTTTGTTTCCTCATTGCC